CCAAGGTGGGCGGATCACCTGAGGTCAGGAGTTCAAGACCAGCCTGACCAACATGGAGAAACCCCGTCTCTACTAAAAATACAAAATTAGCCGGGCGTGGTGGCGCATGCCTGTAATCCCAGTTACTCTGGAGGCTGAGGCAGGAGAATCGCTTGAACCTGGGAGGCGGAGGTTGCTGTGAGCCAAGATCGCACCACTGCACTCCAGCCTGGGCAACAAGAGCAAAAACTCCGTCTCAAACAAACAAACAAAACCACCAGAAAAAAAAAGTATTTTACACCTATTGCCATGCAATAACATGCTTTTGATACACGAGTATATGTATAAATTATAAGACACAAGATTCTAAAATAGTGGCTGAAGGACCATGCAATCAGGCAGTCATAACAATGACCGATTATTAGTGATAAACACATGCCACACAGAGAAAGGACTATGGACAATAATGGCCTATTTAACCTGCCACTGTGCTGCAGGAACCGCTCACCTGGAGGAGCAGCAGACAAGGGTAGATGGAGCTGCGTTATATGGCGACACTGTGCAACTTGGTCCACACCATCATTGCTCCTCCCATCATTACCACACCACCTGGGAGGACCACCAAAGGGGAGAAGATCAAGAGAGACCGAGGAGAATTACTACCGCTTGGTCTCGATGATCATGTCATCAAAGACTCATTCATTGACTATTCAGCGTATGCTCTGACTAAAATGGGTAAAAGTGATCGAGACACTTGCGTTCCGTTCTGCTTTGCTCACTTAATCCTTAACTTGACTGCCCTTCCCCTGCCTCACTTTTTTCACTTGCAAAACCAGACAAAATGCTAGACATTCTACTCACCATCAGACCCAGGAAAGCCTACAGGGAATCATCACACGGCGTGAAATCAGCTCCGGCTCAGCAGGAAACGTGCCCACCCACGTTTCCCACCTTCACCCTTCAGGCACAAGACCCCACCTTCTGACCACCAGCTCCTGCATGATTTTGCGGAGCCCTCTTGCCCACCCTGGTAGGAAGGAGATACCAGGGATGAGTGCTCCCTGTGACAGCCCTCAACCAGGGACAGGCAGGAGCTGTTATACAGGGACACACGTTCTACCCTGGCTGACTTCCCCAGCAGGTTTGGCTCCAATGGCCACAGCCATAACTGGAGTGATAACCCGCTCTTGACTGGCTGTCTTCCCTTCCTTGTCTCACTTGCCCACTCTCTCATCAGTAGCTCCTTCACGTCACAAGTAATCTACTGGCCCTCGAGTCACCGTTTCAGGGTGGGCTTCCGCAGGAACACAAACTAGGACAACAGGTCTTCTCTGGACAGGACCCCACACTAGACAAAGCTGGGCGGGGCTTAGACCAGAGGGGAAAAAATGCAACTTCTAACATGCAACAACAGCCAAACTGGTTCTCTTAGAAAGAGTCTGAACCTCAAAAAAGCATCCTTCTTGTCCAGAAAGCTTCCTCGCGAAGGAGCTCAGAGGGTCTGAGGGAAGCAGTGCAGCTCGCGAGGGGCATGCTGGCTCTGCAGCGGTGTGCCCTGCATGGTGTGCCCTCCCTTGGCTCTGTGTGAGCCTCCTTTCCTTTGCACAGGGGACTGTGGGTGAGTGGCACAGCCTTCAACAAAAGTGGCTCTGCTCTTTGGCAGTGATCTCTTCTGTGGAACAGCATAAAATGAGCATTGAAAAAACTTCTAGGACGAGCTATGCTCAACAGCTATAAAGAACCAAGCGGTTTCTTATTTAGCACATGAGAGCGTGGGGTTAAAGAGGGAAGAAGATGAGAGCGTGGGGTTGAAGAGGGAAGAAGGAAGAGGAGAAGTCAGGAGAAAGGAGAGGGAATGGGAGGGAGAGGGAGAGAGAGAGAGAGTTAGAAAACATCAGAAATTAAGTGGATAAAAGTAAATGACCACTTCACAACCAACCACTACCTTTCCTCAACCTGGAAAGGAGAATGAAAAGGAGAAAAAAGAGACGCAAAACAAGCATTGATTATATAAATTCGCATGTACAGAGATAAAGATGCACCAGCTTTTCCTTTTTGTTCTGTAAAAACGTCAATGTGTTCTTTATAGCTCAATCCTATGAAAATACTTGTGAGATTGTAATTATGCTTTATATTATTAAAGATAATTATTCCGAGTTATTCTCCATGTCTCAGGACTTTGCTTTGGCTGGTCAGCCTAAAGTGACCTCACAGCAGCACAGTTTGTATCTGAAGTGGGGTTCTTGTAGACAGCGTAGAGCTAGGTCTTATTTTTTGACCCATTATGACAATCAGTCTTTTTTTTTTTTTTTTTTTGAGACCGCCCAGGCTGGAGGGCAGTGGTGTGATCTCGGCTCACTGCAACCTCCACCTCCTGGGTTCAAGCGATTCTATTGCCTCAGCCTCACCAGTAGCTGAGATTACGGGCACGCACTGCCACACCGGGCTAATTTTTGCATTTGTAGTAGAGAGGGGGCTTCACAGGTAGTATGAGTTTCTTATCATAACAACACAATCCTAATTCCTCCCCCCATCCCTTGTAATATTGTTGTCACTCATTTCCCTTATACATAAGTATATATGTGAGGGTACATAATTGAATACATTGTTGCTATTATTTTGAACAGTTATCTGTTAGAGTAAGAATAAGAAAAATAAGTTATTATTTTGCTTTCACTTATTCCTTCTCTGCTTTTTTTTTTTTTTTTTTTTTTTTTTTTGGTTGAGACAGTCTCGCTCTCTCGCTCTGTCGCCCAGGCTGGAGTGCAGTGGCGCGATCTCGGCTCACTGCAACCTCCGCCTCCCGGGTTCCCGCCATTCTCCTGCCTCAGCCTCCCGAGTAGCTGGGACTACAGGCGCCCGCCACCTCGCCCGGCTAGTTTTTTGTATTTTTTTTTTAGTAGAGACGGGGTTTCACTGTGTTAGCCAGGATGGTCTCGATCTCCTGACTTCGTGATCCGCCCGTCTCGGCCTCCCAAAGTGCTGGGATTACAGGCTTCAGCCACCGCGCCCGGCCTCTGCTGTCTTTCTTTACGTAGATCTAAGTTTCTGACCTATAGCATTTTCTTTCTCTCTAAAGAATTTCTTGTAACATTTCTTGCAAGGCAGGTCTACTGGCAACAAATTCCCTGAAGTTTTGTTTGTCTGAAAAAGTCTTTACTCTCCTTTACTTTCAAAGGATAATTGTGCAGGGTTCAGAGTTCTAGGTTGGTGGGTTTTCTCTCTCAACCCTGACGTCTTGCTCCACTCTCTCCTTGCTTGCCTGGTTTCTGAGATAGGTCAGAAGCATTTCTTCTCTTTGCTCCTCTACAGGTAATGTGCCTTTTTCACTCTGGCCCCTTCCAGGATTTTTTCTTTATCTTCGATTTTCTGCAGTGAAAATGATATGCCCAGGTGTAGTTTTTCTGGCATTTGTCCTGATTCTCTGAGATTCCTGGATCTGTGGTTTAGTGTCTGACATTAATTTGGAGAAATCTGTCATTACCATTTCAAGTATTTCTTCTTTCTTCTCCTTCTGGTATTCCCATTACACGTTACACCTTTTGTAGATGTCCCACAGTTCTTGGATATTCTGTTCTGTGTGTGTGTGCGTGTGTGTGGGGGGGTTTCTCTTCGCTTTTCAGATGTGGAGGTTTCTATTGAGATAAGCTTATGCTCAGAGATCCTTTCCTCTGCTGTGTCCAGTCCACAAATCCATCAAAGCCCATCAGCGGCATTCTTCATCTACGTCACTGTGCTTTGCTCTCTGCCACTTCATTTGTTTTTTTTTCCTTAGAATTCCCATCTCCCTGCTTTCATTGCCCACCTGTTCCTGCGTGCTGCCTACTTTATCCATTACATCACATTAATCAGAGTTGGTTTCGATTTCCCGCCTGATAATTCCAGCATCCCTGTTGTCTGTGAGTCTGGTTGTGAAGCTTGCTCTGTCTCTTCAACGTGTGTTATTTGCCTCTTATTTCATTTTATTATTATTATTATTATCATTATTTTTGAGACGGAGTCCCGCTCTGTCGCCAGGCTGCAGTGCAGTGGTGTGATCTCGGCTCACCGCAACCTCCACCTCCCGGGTTCACGCCATTCTCCTGCCTCAGCCTCCAGAGTAGCTGGGACTACAGGCGCCCGCCACCGCGCCCGGCTAATTTTTGTTGTTGTTGCTTTTGTATTTTTAGTAGAGATGGGGTTTCACCATGTTAGCCAGGCTAGTCTCGAACTCCTGACCTCAGGTGATCTGCCCGTCTCAGCCTCCCAAAGTGCTGGGATTACAGGCTTGAGCCACCGTGCCAGGCCCTATTTGCCTTTCAGTATGTCTTATATCTTTTTCTTGATAGCGGCTCTGACTGGGTGAAGGCAAGTGCTGTAAAGAGGCCGTGAGTGTGTGGTGGGAAGGTCTATTCTATAGTCCTACAATCAGGCCTCAGAGTTTCGGTGAGCCTGTGCCCCTCAGCTGGACACTCACAAATGCGTCTCAGTCCTCCCTCCCACGCCCACCTTAAGTGAGCCGGCAGATGGCTAGAGTGGGCTGGCGTGGGGGTTTCCCTTCCCCAGGTCAGTTAGGCGCTGATAAAGCCACAGCGGGGTTAGGGGAGGCGACCTTGTTAGGAAGAGCAGAGTGCTGCGGCCTCTTTCAAAATGGTCCTTTTTCTTCTTCCCACTGCAGGAGGCACGAGGGGATTTTTCTCCATTATTCACTGTGAGAACTCGGGGAAGCTCCAGAAGGTGAGGGAGAGGGGACAACGACGTGGTTCCTGTGGATCTTTAACTTGCCCGCTCTGAGCCTCCGGCACTTTGGCGATGACAGCTCAGGTTTCCCCGCCTCGGCACTGCTCCTGCAGAGGCTGCTGCCCAGGGCTTCCGCTCCGGTACCTTGCGAAGCTGCATTCTCCTGCCGGTTTCTCCAGTTTTGGGGACTGTGGTTTACTCTGAGACCTTATGGATCCAAGGAGACTTGCTTTTTCAGTTTGTTCAGCTTTTTACTTGTTAGGATGGAATAGCAATTTGCAAGCTTCTTCGACAGGAAGCTAGAAGTTCCACACTTAAATTTTATACATACAAATATATACATGTGTACATATATATATGTGTAGGGGTATTGTATATATACACACAAAATGATGACATGTATGATGATGATATGTATTACTGAGAACGTAAAATATAATTACATAGTGATAGCTAGACACACAAGGAATTCACAACTCCCCAAAGAAAATACATCTGGATGACCTGCCTAGCAATTTCCCCGTGAGATAGACGAATGTCTCCGTATTTCATTCCCTGTTCCTGCCCTGAAACAATTTCAATCACTTGACAAATCATTATCATTCATTAATAATGTTTACTGAGTGCCCATATGTGAAAGAAATCCACTATACATTCCACAGATGCATTTCCTCTCCCCACGGGGTTTCCATTTTAATGGGAACAATGTAGAAGATATCTGTCTTCCCTTTATAGATTCTGTTTGCGTTTTTTGTTGTTTCTTGTTCTCTCTCCCTCTCTCTCTCTCTGTCTCTCTCTGGTCCAGAGGAATAATTTCCTGGTTTTATAAACTAAGCTGGATCATTTCACTTCCATGAATCAGGGAATACTTTATGAAGGAATAAGGATTTACAGAGGACTGGGGATAAGAGATGGAGGGAAGCTGAACAGAAGGCAGACGAAACTGGCTGAGCCTCTTCAGAATACAGGACAATCCCTGATGGTGAGTCAGTCTGGATGGGGGAATGGGACACCTTACATGGGGATCAAGAAAGAATCACTGGGGTCAGAAAGAGCACATGTCAAGAAGAGGTCCGACTGATGACAAGCAAATATTGCCCCAGTATTACAATTACAATTCCTGTGGCCCCTCAAAATTACCCTGTCAGTTTGATGGGATAAAATTCTCAGACCTCATTTCATACCACAGACACTGAATCCCTATTCCACAGCTTCGGAAGTTCGAGGAAGTAGACTGTATGTGTGTCTTCCAAAGCGTCTACCAGAAATCAAGGTGTTGGAGAACTTTGTCTTTCTTTTTTTTTTTTTTTTTTTTTTTGAGA